CTTGAGGCAACTGGGGACTTTATCACGCACTTTGAAAACAAGGATTTCAGCTTGAGCTAGGGGTTCTGATGGCCATGAAAATCCCTTACTCAACTCAGAAGTTTCGTCAACAGCAACTGCCCATCTGGCTGCCCCTCGGGGCTCTGCAGATGAGAGGAGTTTGTGTAAGGTTTCTGGAGCAGGGTGGTTCTCACAGGGAAAGAGCAAAGTGTGCAAGTTGGCAGAAATGCTGAGCCTCCTTCCGGCCAGCTTTTCTGCTGCTGTTGTCAGTCATGAGGTCAGAATAATCCTAGGACCCTGAAGATCAGACAAAGTCCCGAGAAAACAAGGGCTTTTAATGAGCTGTGATTAGACAGTTTCTAGAGATCATATGCAGTAAAAATGCTTAACACAAACTACGTAAGACAATTTTCATTTTCTTAAATGAGTAAAAAAAAAAAAAAAAAAAAAAAAGCCTCGGTTGTTAGTAACATCTTACTTTAAAGAGATATTTGTGACAATGACAAACAGGATTTAGAGCCAAAAGATTAGCAACCTGTGGTCCAAGAATCAAGTTTGGCCACTGTCTGTTTTCCTAGGTAAAGTTATATTGGACCACAGCCACTTTTTGTTCAGATAGTATCACTGGCTGACACACAATGGCATGGTTGTCTTGAGAAGGACTATGCCTGCCATTCCTAAGTCACTCGCTTCCTTATTCTATACATTAAAGCACACAAACATCTGCCCATTCATATCGAGATTGCAATTCAGTTTCGTAGTGTTGGGAAAATTCATAATTTTCTCTCACCTTCAGTTCCCTCATTTCTGTACAATGATGCTTTTCCCTTTTCACATAGAGTTGCTATGAAAATCAAATGTAATATAGAATGAAGAAGAAAGCACTTTGCACACTCAGAATCACTGTAGATTTGGTCTGGGGCGACTTCTGCCATTCATTTGCTGTGCGTTTGAGGAGAACCACTCCACACAGTAGGTTTACAGGCTCCCAGTCCCTGGCATGGGTGCTGGCAAGAGTCACTCCTTCCTCACGAATGCAAACTCAAACCCAGTTACCTCATCTTTACCTCTTCCTCCAAATATACAAAAAGTTTAGGCTTAGGCTGAGTACATACGGTGATTCTTATAGTGCTTAAACACTTGCCAAGGACCTTCTATGTTCAGGGGTATAATCTTTCCTGAGCTAAGTCTTGTTCTTAAAGGGAGAGGTTTGATATAACACCTATAACCCAAATAAAATGTTTCCTATCGTGGTAGGTAACACATAATAAGAGGAAATATTTTCTCTCCATGTGTGCAAATGCCCAGGCTTTATCAAAACAGAAATATTCAGGTTCATATTTAGGAGAATCGCTTTTCAAACTAAGAACCCTTTTAAGCCAAAATACACAAAGTGCTTTAAGCTGTGGCTATTGTGCACACAGTTTTCTCTCAGAAACTACATTTTGAATTCTAAGTTTCTATCCTGAACTTCCTAAATTGCTTCCTACCCATGCATGGTAAGCGAAGATCCTCCATCCATGCTGAACAGGACTCCAAGAGGCTGAGCAGATGGGCGCATCAAGGAGGCAGATACTATAGCTTAAGGTTCTAGAGACAGTCTTCATTTCCCACTACCTTGTTTCTTAAATAAAGATAATTTAGTAAGCAGAAACTGGATAGCTGTTCAACTTGAGATCAAAGTAAACATAAATTTAGAACAAAAATAAAACTTAATATTCTATTCTTAAAATATTGTTGCCTTAACAATATGCTTAGATTTTCTTACCACTGACAAAGGGAGAAGACAGTGTTATTTGAGAAAGGAAAAGAAGAAAATGACTGCTATCCATGGATTGCAGACACACACATATGCTCCAGGCCCCAGACTGTGTCCCCTGAGCCATCGCAGCATGGCAACTCTCTCGGTCCCCACGGAAAAAGTGTTGACACTCCTTATGAATGTATTCCGTCTATATTTTTTTGTGTACATACAGAACGGCTGAACCAAAATCCACCACCAATTCTTGCTCATTTTACTCTCCCCAACTATTAAAACAGAGCCAAAATAATTTTTAAAAAAAATTTTTTTAAGTAGCTTAGGTTTTTAATATTTTTCTTCTGGGATTTAATCTTCCCCAGGGCATTTTTTTTTAAAGAGAGAATGATTAGATCCATGAGACATTTTTATTAGACATAGCTGGACTCCTGGGATGCTGGGAGGCATATGTGAAGAAAGCCTGTTCATGAACGAGGCTAACTGCAGGTAGTTTCATTGTACTGCTGGATGCCTCGCATTTTCCTATTCACAGGCAAGCTCCTCCGTCTCTGGCCTCCCCTTCAATGCAGGGTTCCGTTCTACAGCCTGCAGTTTGTTTTATCCCGAGGAGAATCTTCCTTTGCGAAATTACATTCTTCAGAGTTTTGGTTTTCCCTGAAGCATTTTTATTCTTGACTCTAAGTGAAGTCTCTCTAAACCTGGGACAGGTGATGATAGCACAGTAAAGATAATTATAGTCAGGAGCCAGGGCGATTATCGACTGGGGAGCGATACAGGCTGGTGAGCTGATGTCACACATCTTGCTGGACTGATGTCCTTTCAACAGCTTGACCTTCAGAACCTCTTGGGACCTAAGCCTGAGTTTTCCTTCCTCCAGAAGCAAAAATCAAAAGCAAGCCAAATTTAGAGTGCAAAACCTATGCTCACTGTACCTATTTTGATACCCATTAATATATGAGTAGTTTTATAAAGGAAGATCGTATAATGGAAACATATACCACACATATATTTCAACACCATGAAGCACACAACAATTTTTCAGGGTGAGTCAGTTCTACTGCTAGGAATTAACCAGTGACGGTTTTATTTGTGTTTTATATTCTGTTTTAATTTTGTGTAAATTATATTAAGCTAGAAAATGACCTATCCAACCGGTTTCCTAGAACCCCTATAGCAAGTTGGACATAGACATAACCACTTTAATTGTCCTTTAGAAGCAGTTCAACTTGGTAAATGACTAGTTTTTTTTTAAAGTGATTATAGGAATATTATATATGCAAGATAAATATGACTGAGAAATTTGCATGATGAAACTGGATTTAATTAAGTGAATTTGGTTAGGCTTGATGAGGTAGAGACAAATTTAGGATAAATTATATTCTTAAACCAATGAAGTGACTCTCTTGTAGTTTTGTATTTGCAAGATGGAGTTTTCAGGAACATGTGGCAGGGTCTTATAATACAAATCTCTCTCTCTCTCTCTCTCTCTTTCACACACACACACACACACACACACACACACACACACACACACACTGACACAGACACACGGACACATGGACACAGAAAACCATGCAGGATAAAACAAAAAGAGAAAAGTCACAACACCTGGAGTGTGCCGTGGCTCACGTCTCTGCTCTCTCTTAGGTCACTAATTCTGACTGGTGATGAGCCTGTCTAGCAAACTTTGTCTCTGTCTTTCCTGTTCAACCCTGGGAGATGTTGGCGTTTGGGTTTTCATTTGATGAACAAGTGTCATTGATTTCCTCTGTGTTCTCTTTGCTTCTGTCCTACAAACAATCAAAAAGATACCCATTTTCTGATCCAGAACCCAACTTGTTTTCCCAGGTTCCCTCCTACAACCAACACAAACACAGACATTTACCAGCAAAACAGAAGCTGTTGGAAATATTTTTTTTGGCTGCTGAAATGGGCTCCTGTCACCGGGACATGGCAGGCTTTTTGCTGTATTATCTCCCAGCTCTGGCCCCAGTACGCTAAAGAGAGCTTTATGTAATCAGTCTTCCCTGACTTGTGTGACGTCCTGTCACTTTCCTCCCCTTCTGCTCTGCTGCCGCCCACAAATCAATACATTGCCTGAGAAGTTCAAGCTGGTTTGCAGCCACCACAAGCGTTGCATTTCTTAAAGGGTATGTCAGAAAATGTAAAGTTTCCTAATGATATTTCTGGCTGATGACACATGGCAGAGCTGATGGACTATTTATAATCAGTGGCACGATCGCAAGCACATTATTTTTATTTCACTTGGGGGGGGGGAGCCCTGTCACTTGCTACCTCTTTGTAGACAAGTTGATATCAGCTCCTCCTAAAGTAGCTAAATCCTCTTTGCAGATTGCTTTTGCACCTTTCCCTTTTTGTTGGGAGCTTCTTGGCTCTCTCTGATAGAAAAGCCTTGCCCTTCTTTTTCTTTATTATCCTTTGGCTCCTGGGATGAGGAGGCCAAAGAACGATTTGTAGCAACTGCTCTAAATTCTGGCCATGCCGGCATCCTTCTCTAAAAATGTCTCCAGCTCTGACTGTTCACATCCTGCTGGCATGACCAAGGCAAAAGACACAGCTACTGAGTCCAGTGCTTGTCCCAATTTTACAGGACTGAACAGAGTGTAGCCATCCTTTGATGAGCACCTACTATGGTCTAGGCAATATACTTATTAGGCATTGATGTACTCTATCTCACTAAACTCTCTCAGAATCTGTCAGAGGTAAGTGCTGTTATCTGCAGAGAAGAGATCTGGGTAGTGTGGATGGTAAATGACTTCTCTCCAAAAATACCCAAATGACCAAGACTCTAAGCAGGTCATTTTTAACAAACTGTGCATGCCACTTCTCTATTCCCTGGTACTGTATTTTCCTGATTATGCTCCCCTTTGTATATATCAGGTGTGGATATTCAAAACTATTTACTATTTTTAGTTTGGATGATGAGAGCTCCTGAGAGTTCAAAGCCCACACCCTGAATAAGAATTGGTGGAGTGGAAACCTTTTGTCCTAGGGTGAACCCTGATATAAAGGAATCCAATACCAGAGGAGGGCTTTGACACACTGCAGTGGAAACTATTGCTTCTGTGAAGATATTGAGCTCTCTCTCTCTCTCTCTTTCTCTCTCCTTCTCCTCCCCTCCCTCCCTCTCTTGTTCTCTCTCTCTCTCTTGCTCACTCTCTCCCTCTCTCTCTCTGTCTCTGCCTCTGTCTCCCTGTCTCTTTTTTTAATATTTCCACAGGACAGAGTTTAGGGTATGGATTTGTTAACTATATTGATCCAAAGGATGCAGAGAAAGCCATCAACACTTTAAATGGACTCAGACTCCAGACCAAAACCATAAAGGTAAGAGGTGATACACTGGCTTCTGATTCAGGAGGTCTAATGAAATTTTAGTCTGTGGGTCGGAATAGTGTTCTTTATTCACTCAAAGAATATTTACTGTCCACTCTGCTAAGTAAGGGACATGAACGAGTACAAAAATAGCAAAATGGGGGTGAAGAGTGCAGGGAAGGGACCAGGAGCCATGACATCTGTAATCCAGAAGGCAGATGTGGTCTGGGATCCAAGGCCCCACAAAGAAGGCCTGCCAGCCTGACTCTACACAAACTGCCAGAAACAAGCTGAAGGAAGAAACAAAGGCAGGAAAGCCATCCCAGGTATGAATAGTGTGGCCCTAAACTGGGATGGTGGGTGATGAGGAGGATGGAAGGTAGGCAGAACCAAGTCAGGATACCTCATGGGCTGACTGACCAGAGAGAGAGGCTTTTGCTTAAGGATGGTTAAGAACTTTTCATTGGAGAGTGTGAGAGGGAAAGTCAACTGTAAATAAACCCAATCCCGAAAGAAGGGCAGATACAATTAAACTGATGAAAATGTAGTAAAGGAACAACAAAAATAATTAGGTGAACAAATAACATCTCAAGAGTCAGTACTTTAAATCAAAAAAGAAATCAGTAAGCTAGAGGCTGCTCCTCCGGGGTTTCCGGGGCCGGACTGCAGCGCCCTTACTTCTGAGTTCGTGTATGAGCTCCTTTGAGACAATGCTGCCTGCCTCCGGCATCTGTGGTGGTCTGCTGGACGGAGCTGCCTGCTCCGCAGCCTTCCTTCCCGTTCTTTTCCCACCACCAGGCAGCAGCCAGTTTAGGGGCAGCTGCCAGCAGATTAACGAGTCCCACCCTTCATAGCCTATTAAACCACAGGGAAGTGTCTCCTGGGTGTTCTTACACTCACGACAGCAGATCTGATGCAAAGTAGGACAAAAGAGAAACCTCTCCCAGAATGGAAATCTATAGATGGCACCAGCTCTCCGCATCTGAAAACACAAAACTAGAACTTTTTAGTTCAGCAAAACTACTTTTCTGACATCCGGGCTAACAAAAGAGACGAGCACTGTAAGATAATCTTCGCTGGAAGGAAATAAGAATGACAACAGAACTTGTCTCTTTTTGGAACTTGTTGGATGATTATTTCTCTTTTCTTAAGCAGCTTTATTTCTTGCAATTGTGTTTAGATTATTTCTAAAAAATTATTGCTTTACTCTGTTCTCCTACAGTCTGTACAGCACACAACCAACCCCCACCCGAAATAAGCCTGATTTAGGCTGCTTCCAACAAGGCTTAGAATTAGTTCCTAGGAATTCTCTAAGGGGGAAATAAAAAAGTTGTTTAATTATGGCGGAGTCCTCAGAGAGGCAGGAAGATTAATTTCTTTCAAAGGAATAACACATATTTTCATATTTCAAGTCAAGAAAAGTGTTCCTGTCTCTTGGTTCTGATGAGGCCTTGTCACATCGAGAGCTGTTTGTGGGTTTGATTGATGTGGGTGCGTGTGTGTGTGTGTGTGTGTGTGTGTGTGTGTGTGTGTGTACGTGTGTTATCAAGTTCAGCATTAGAATGTCAGATGTTTCGTTTTCCCTTGGCGGACACGCTGACCTTGAACTGAGAGAGGTACTTTTCTTTTTTCTTCTTTTTTTTTTTTTTTTTAACTCTACAATTTTCTTGAAATCCAAACCCTTTCCCCATGGCTTGGGATCAAATCACCAGCCATCAATCTGCTTTTTATTTTATTTTATTTTTTTTTAAGTCTTCCATAAGATCCCTGTGGTTTCCCCAGAAGACTGATTGGGCCCAGCTTTTCTAGTCTCAGAATGGCCCCCGAGGCCTACCATACAGTCAGATGCTTTCTCTAAATGGATCTTGGAGACAAGAAACATTGACTATTTTCTTTCTGTGAAGAGCTGGTCTGCTTCCTTGCTTCATCTGTAACCCTCCACCAGACCCAGGCTCCCCTGCATCAAAATGCTGCTGACACATCTGCACCCAGCGGAAATGTGGGCTCCAAAGTCACCGTAGGATTCACAATGCACGATGTCACTCCTGAATCAATAATTTCCATTCTCTACCACGAATGAAAATTTAATGTGCAAACCTAGGGATTTCAGCCCTTTCATTAAAGCAGTTTATTTGCCATACGAAAAATTAAGTTTGACTGATAGGTTCCTTTATTAACTTTTCTTCCCTTTCCTAAAGGGACACAGTGTTTAAGGTAAAAGTCATATTAAAGGGAAGAAAAAAGCAAACCCTTTTTGTGTACTGTTAATAGTCTCATCATTTATTAATTTTTTAAAATTGCTTTTTTTTTTGGCTTTTCAGGCCACTGTTTACTTCTTCTGCCTCAGTTTGCTTTGATAAGTGACATCAAACCTAGCTCTCTACTTTGACACCCATGAAGGAATAGATAGCTTGTCAATCTGGAAACAAAAACAAACAGCAACACAAACAACAAACCACACATACTGTCCCTGCAAGCATGCATTGTGGAGATCTCGGGACCATCTAGTAGAAGCTGACAAACCTGGTCAAGTGTTTGTGCTCTCTGTCAAACACTCTGACAAACCAGAAAACACACCACTTTAAGTGTGATATGCAAAAATATTAGTGCGAGAGAGCCAAGAATTAACCCCTGAACAGTAAAGGTTAATGATTAACTGCCAGATTCAAGGGTAGCTTTGGTGATGGGAGTTGTTAAAGGTCAAAGAGGGCAGCTTTTCTCATGATGATGACGATGATGACAAGGACTGATTCCAAAAGTTGTTTAATTCAAATCTTCAGTTGTTCAATGGAAACAGCCTAGATATCTTTTATGTTGGCTCTCCTGATTTCAGAGGCCAGAAACAAAAACAAAACCTTATGAAGGAAAACCAAGCAGAACATAAGTAACAGTTGACCTTTGTACGTCAGTCTTTAATCTCTGAATTTGATGTTTAAATATGGCACCATTGCTCTTGGTAGATACCATTGAATGTCCCATTACCTGGCTACAAGTGGAAGGTGTCCACAAAGACTCATTCCTAGCAACAAAATTCCATTTTCCTTTAATTAAGGAGGCTGTAAGGAAACCATACGAACACTGAGGGCATGTGAACAGCAGGGCCAGACCTCTGGCAGAGAAAGGGCATGATTTGTGAATTGCATCTGCAATGAGTAGTCACGAATGGGAACTCCAAAGGGATTGCCGTTTAGATTAGACTTGTTTCAGGAGAGAAGATTCTACCTGGAGACCAGGCTTAGACCAGGTGAAGTATCCTGCCTAGAGCCACACAGCTGTCAGTTTAGCATGTACAAGCATGAGCCAGACAGGAAATGGTGATAAACAGCAATAATGTGGCTTACTCTGAATGTTTACATTGTGCCCAATAGGATCCTAACCTTTCTAAATGCTAGTTACCATTTAATCGTTGACTATTCCAGGAGTTAAGTGCTTTCCACACCTCAGCCCTGTTTCTAAAATTAGCCCTACAGGTGCCATTATCTCCTTTATGCTAATGAGGAAACTGAGGCCTGAAGAAGTTCAGGAGACAGACCTAGGATTACACAGTGGGTAAATGACAGTCGGAGTTGTTTTTTGTTTTGTTTTGTTTTGTTTTGTTTTTTTAAGCTTTAAAAATAATTCTCTGGCAGGAGGTCCTCAGTGTTGGAATGTCAGGCTGCCTGTTTGCCTAGCAGCATGTGATCCTTGTGTGTCTGTGTGGGTGGGTATTTTGGCTCTGCGTATACAAGGGTTAACTCCCTGGCATGGTAAGAAGATATTGAAAGCAAATAAATGAACTGTGTGGTTCCTCCAGGTTCTTCAGACATGGACTTCTGGTTCAGAACATTTGCCATTAACTTGAAGATACCCTGGACTTTAACTCCCTTCTTCCTGAGCCCTTGCTCTCCAGGCTCTGTGGCCTGCCGTTTAGTGAAGCACAAATGGCAGTGGCCGGGAAATTCTCCAGTCCACTAGAGTAGTATGGACCAGGTGCTTGCCACAGGAGAGATGACTTACCTCACTTAGGGCTTGAGGTGCTATTTGTTCTTTTCTTCTAGTGTTTTCCTACTTGCCTCCATCAAGACTCTGAGACACTGAGAGAACAGGGTATGGGTTCTTGGAAATGAGTCCCTGAGACTCCTTGACAACTGATGCCCATCCTAGCCGACTCTGAAAGAGAAGCTTCGAATTTACACTGTCACTTGAGCCTCTACTAAGAAATGCTCAACTGAATCCAGTTACCTTTGCTTCAGCTCCTTGTCACATTAATTAAGAGCAAACAAAACTGGGGCTGGATGTGATGGTAATTCCAGCACTCAGGGGGCCGAGGCTGAGAGATTATTATGAGTTCAAGGTCAGCCTGTGCTTCCTAGCAAAATGGATGGGCCACAAGGAGAAGAGAATGAAAGAGGAAAAGGGAAGAAAGGAGGGATCCTCAAAACAAGAGTAATCCAAACAGGCTTGTTTGGATTGACATTCAAATTCCCCCAGACGCTTAGGAGGAATGTTGTCTGACTGAAATTTGAAGGCTAGCTCTCAGTTCTGCTAAAGCTTTCAGTGATGGAGCTCCTCCTCCTCTCCCCAGGCTAAGTGTGAGAGGCAGGATTAAAAACTTGTTCACTGCTTGCTTTGTCTCAGTGGGTTCACTACAGGGTCGCTCAGTCATGCAAGCTGCAGTGATACAATAGAGTGATCACAGGCTCCGGGGGTTCCCACGGGATATTGGAAGGGAGATGGGGAGCTGTGCAAAATATAAGTGGGAGACCAGTCTGACCAACATAATTTCCAAGAAGGCCCATCTCTTGATGGTATGCCTTGTGTAGCACGCGGACGTGGACCAACATTTCATGGGCTGCTGTGGTAGGTTTATCAGCCTTCGATGTGGGCTTTAATTGACTAATGATTATTATGAGGTCTGTGGCTTTGGGGTTTTTTTTGGGGGGGTTGCTGCATAATATGGAATGTGTGTGTGTGTGTGTGGTAATATGTGTACATCTGTATTGGGGTTTCATCTTCTTTACGCTGTATGTTTA